TTCCCTCTTTTTTTTTTTTTTTTTTGTGATTTCAATATAATTACGAAAACTTCATGTGGTAAGTGAATACAAAGGACAGAAATTCATTTAAGCGGATACTAACTAGTTTATTTATATAAAAATAATCTTATATAAAAATAATCTTTCCCACCGAATCTCTAAAAAAAGAAAAGATTAAAATTGATAAAAATTAATCGTGCAAACGCTTCGTTTAAAATACTCCCTCGAAACAGAAATCAATTAATCACAAGAATCAGATATTACTCTTTTTCCCACAAAACTCTATCCAATAATCCAAAAATTATAATTATATCTAATTATAAAAAAAAACTTACGCAATATAATTGCCTATTTCAAACGCTTCAAAGAAGGAAAAAGAAAAATCTCCATTTAGACGAGAGAAAGGAAGAAAAAAAAATAACGATCTCTTTTCTTTAAGGAAAAATCCCATTCCTGTTTATCTGCAAACTATTTTGCTCCATGCTGCGTTTCCCCGATAATGGTTTAAAGATGCACATTAACGTGACCAGGCGGAGGATACCCTTTGAAAAGTCCGCGCAGTACGGATACCAGATCAGGCTCGATCACAAAGAGATCGGCTTATTACCTGCCCGTATCGACTCGGCCCTATCTTTGTGCCGGCACGAAGAGCATCAGCGCGCGGATAATACACGCGGGCAAAGAATAGCACGTGTACCCTCACTCGAGGGGGAGAAATTTATTCGACGAGTGGCAGCTGCTCTGGCATTTATTTGTAAGCCGATTAAATAACTTGGGCGAAAGAGTTGTCGAAAAGGTGGAAGAGGGATCGAAACCACAATTCGAGAATCGAGCTGTGCTGAATTTTGATATTTGCGAATGGAAATCTGATCGAATTGGAGAGAAAATCTGTTTTTGATCGGCGTTTCATGGAAAAAGATTAATTTTGGAAAAATGATTTCTATTTTTGCGACGTTGACAAACGTTGAAAAACCGACATATTCGAAGCATTGCGAATGGAAAAATGAAACGTGTATCACGGATCGAAAAATACTTTGAAATTAATTTTGAAAAATCGCTCTAAATAATCTAAATTTCCAATCTTATTTTTCACACGAAAATTTCATTTCCCTTTAACGTGATGTATATTACATCCTATATATTACATCATCTATTAATTACATAAACGATGATATAATACGTGTAATTTAGAGGATCGTTGTCGTTCATATAAATCCATAATGTCCTTTCGATTCGGTATTACTGAAGCGAGGAATTATGCACGCAAATACCTGTCCTTTTTTTACACCGAAACCGGTCTTCGTCGAGAGAGAATTGCGTATAATCATTGCTCCGATTAGCAAAGCGACACGGAAAAAAGACTCGTTACAGGGCCTGTTCGTGAAATCGATGAACGTGACTTTCCGATGTACTTTTCTTCAAATTAATTTAAACTTCGATATATCATAGAGGAATATTAAACTGATAATTTTTCCTTCTTTATAGTTTTTCTTACGAGAATACATCTGCAATCCACGCGTGAGCATTCATTCCTCTTACTTTTATCTCAAAAACTAGCTTTTTCTTTCCACGAGTCACGTCAAATTCCAATATTCATTTTTACGAAGACAGGAATATGCAGAGTGGCGAATAAATGTTTAAACTTCTCGTGTAACGTGGTATTGTATACACTAGCACTCTAGTTGTACATAATTTGTTGCAATGAACAATTTGTTACTTCTCAATATTTATAATATAATGTATAATGTATAATGATGTATCAAAAAGATACGTCGCAAAGCTTCTCTAAATTTACATACAACTACCTGCAGACACGTGTCTACATAATAAAACTAATAACAGTTTATATTTAGGAATAATGTATACACGTATATATTGTACGTTCGTCTCTAGCAAAACTTCGCAATTTGCTCCGAATATATCAGAAATCTTATCCGTATAGATATGTATACAGACAAAGTCATAATTTTAACAACCCCTCAAGCTTTTCGATTCGATTTCATCACGCGTTATTTATCGAGGAACGAATCTAAATTCAAAAGTAATATATTCCAATGTTATAAGAGTAATAAATTAGAAGCAGAAGGCGCCGAAAGATCTCAAAGGAGAAGAGAAAGAGAGAGAGAGAGAGAGGTATACCGATGTTTGCCGATGGAATATCTAATCGTTCCGGAAACTAATCGCGTGGAACAGTGTCGAGAATATAGCGTGTGCATTAAGATTATTGAAATAACCTGTGTTCCTCTCTTTCTTTTACGCGAGAGTGAAATGTCGCAGGCGGATAAGGAAATGGATTATCGAAGGTAAAATGAAAACACCGAGATAAATGGTCGAGATGGGCAATGCGAATCCCCTGAGTATGATTCTAAAGGAGATGGAAGAAATATATAATATTCTCGACGACTTGGATCGTGAAGAAATTTAATCTTAAATTTAAGCGGATATAAAATATTTGATTGCGTAATGGCTATAGTCGATCTGACTCTTATCAAAAATATTGGCAGAATATTTCGTGTACATTTTATCTGAATATAAATATATGTATATATATGATCGAGATGAATAAAATTGTTTTTTGTTTTTTTGTTTAATATATAATTCTTAATATATATTTTTTTCTAAAAATTTAGAAAAATGTTTTTATAATGAATTTCATTATTTGAATAGTGATGAAATAATTGTACGTTGTTTATATTAATTCTAAATATTATCGGTAAAAAGTGTTAATCGAATAATAATCGCTATATATATATTATTTAAAACGATATTGACAGATTCGAGACAAAGGAATTTTCCTTTTCTTTCGTATATTCTTGTTCAAGTATTCATATACTTCAACTTTCTAAGATTTCCCTAATTCTATATCTTCTAAGAGAATCCTATATTTTGACCTATTTTCTACTTCTATTATTCTTCTATGCATGTTAAATCTATTTTTAACTGAATTCAATTGAAAAGACAAGCGTCAAAAAATTAACTTTATTTGTAAACAATTTATAAAATAATTAAAATAAAAATCGTCTAATAGTATATAATCTATAATTTAATTCAGATCGAATTAATTAAATTCTTTCTAATTTATCCTAAAATCGTGAAATCCATTAACCAACTTACTGAAGATGAAATATTGAAAAAAATATGATATTTTTCTTGGTTCTCAAACAATTGATTTCGGTGAAGTATTAATCAGACGATGATGAATTCTAATATCGTACATAATTTTTATATACTACTCTTAGAAATAAATGAAATAACATGAAGAATATTCATAAACCATCTATTTATAGATATACTTATCTTTACTAAATAGATTAAGAATTTAAAATGACTAATTTTTGACTTATCTCATTGTGAACAAATCATTACATCAAAATATAAATACAAATTAATTATTGGAATAAATTTCAAATATTTTCAAATATCCTTATTAAAATATAATTATTTATTACAATAATATAATTATTAATTTATATTGTAGTACGTTTCTATATACATGGCACTAATTTCCTCTTCATTCTTTATCTAATTCAATATGATACAATGAATTCAACGAGGCAAATAAAAAATTCTCCCTTCACGATATTGATTATTAACAAAATTTTTCCTGAAAACATTCGCCACCAATAAAAAAGAACTGTTCTGAAGAAAGGGGTGACGTATTCTTTTCCGCGCAATAACGAAGTATCGCGTCGTAACGCTATGCTAATTAGTCGTAACGATTTAATGAATATTCAACTTACCCGAGGGTGGAAAGAAATCCAGAGACACTGCCCTCAGCGTATA